CCGGGAGTGGCCACTGCACTCCAGTCTGGGCGACAGAGTGAGACTCCAACTCAAAAAAAAAGAAAGAAAGAAAGCATTTGCTGATATAAAGCATTTTATGATCCTTCTCCTATGGTCATCCTCCTTTACTTTCTATTTGCGTTTTCAAGGTTGAATAACTGATTTGATCAGTGTTCCTAGACTGTTAATGAAGGAGCTATAATTTTATGGCCTCACCTCTTGTTGCACATTTGAATCTCCTGAGGAGATTTTAAAGCATATCAATGCCTTTGTCCATCTCCAAAGATTCTTTTTTATTTTTCTTTATTTTTTTTTTTTTTTCTGAGTCATGGTCTCACGCTGTTGCCCAGACTGCAGTGCAGTGGCGTGATCATGACAATCACAGTTCATGGCAGCCTCGACCTCTTTGGCTCAGGCAATCTTCTCACTTCAGCCTCCCAAGTTTCTGGGACTATAGGAGCTTGCTGCCATGCCAAGCTAATTTTTTGTAGAGAGGAAGTTTCACTATGTCTCCCAGACTGGTCTCAAACTCCTGGACTCAAGCAATCTGCAAGCCTCAGCCTCCCAAAGTGTTGGAATTACAGGTGTGAGCCACCGCACCCAGTCCAAAGATTCTTGATTTAGTTTGTCTGGAGTCCTGCCACTGGTGGGGGTTTTCAAAAATCACTACAGGTGATTCTAATGTTCATCCAAAGTTGAGAACCACTGAGCTAGATAATAAATGTAGCAGTTCTTTTGAGTTAGTTTTTTTTAAATGAACTTTAGAAAGCATGTGAATTATAAAAATGATGGGTAAGTCATATCAGATAAATGTGACGTCTGTTTGCATTTAAATGGATTACTGAGTTAATTTTTTAAAACTAGTATCTACAAATAGCCTGACTGGATTCAAGAAATGAGAGTCTGGTAGTAAGCAAAACAGACTACTGTCCTTAGGAAGTTTTTTTAAAAAGAAAAGAATGGGGGGTGGAATTCAGAGAGTCAATTAAGGAATATTTCATAATTCTTTATTTGCACTGGGTTTGTAACTAGAATGGTTCATTCCTTTAGGCCAGATAGTCATAAAAACAGACTTGCTTTATAAAAACTGATTTTTCTTGGTTGAAGTTTTGTAGATAAATAAATAGCAGAGAAAGGGTTTGGGGGGAAATATATGGATCAATATTACAGTCTGACCACATATCATAAAGAGTTGTAAAAAGTTGTTCAAATACTCCAAAATTTGCCAGTATTACAAAGAAGTAAAGTGTAGCACACTGGCAACACAAAACAACCTTTTACTTTAGTTATTTACATTTCTTTCATTTTCTTTTAGAGTTATGGGGAAATTTTCTCTTAATACTAACAGTTACTGTCACAAATGTTAAACCTTCTAATGCTAATTTCTTTTATGACATTTTTAATATATTACAAACCTGAGTCAAACTCTTTTTTTTTTTTTGGCAATCTTATTTGCTAGTTTAATTATCAGTTTTATCCCAAGGGTTGTGATAATTGGTGTAAAGTGCAAATTCTACATCTATCCTGTTCTCTTTCATGAAGTCTTTCATATTACCTAACATTTGGAAGTCCTCAATTTATTATCTCAATGGATTTGTTTGTTAAATAACCAGCTGATTTTCTCTTATTGTATAGATATAGCTCATGTGGATTTGAACTAAAATGATTGTGTTTGAAAGATGCTTTATTGCTATTTTTTACAGTAATTAAAAAGTGCTAAATTTATTTAACCACTCTTCTATTTTTAGACATATTTGTTTAACCAAATATTCACTACTATACAATTTGTCCCCATCATACTGAAAGGGCTAACAAATTTGACCAGAGTTAATATCCTCAATATATAAAAGGGATTTACTACTTGATAAGAAAAATATTACCATAGCAGTAGATTAATCCATAAGATAATGCAAAAAGAAAATAGATAAAAATAAAGACAAAAATAACAGAAGATATACATAATTTTAAATGCAAGTTAAGAACACTTATCATAATACTATAAGAAAGGGATTGGCAGTAGTGGGACACTACCAGGGGAGGGGGGCACATAACATCAATAAGGGTATCCACACTTTACCTATATGAGGACCATGCATGTACCTAACCCTCATTTGTACCCCACATTTTAAAAATAAAATTTAAAAATTATATAAAAAAGAAAGATTTTTAAAATGCAAGTTAATATTTAAAAATAATTCCCCCTTTTAAGTTGACAAATATTCTATAATATGATTTTAAATGAAAGAGTCGAAGAATATAGATAGAAATTTAAATAGAATAGAGAAATTTACATAAAGATCCTTATCTAAATTTAAAATCTTTATTTAGGCCAGGTGCAGCGGCTCACACTTGTAATCTCAGCACTTTGGGAGGCTGAGGTGAATGGATTGCTTGAGCCCAGGAGTTTGAGACCAGCCTGGGCAACATAGCGAAACCTTATCTTTACAAAATAATAATGATAATTAACTGGATGTGGTGGTGTGTGCCTATAGTCCCAGCTACTTGGGATGTTGAGGCAGAAGGATTGCCTGAGCTCCAGAGATCCAATCTGGGAGACAGAGTGAAAGTCCAACTCAGATTAGATACCTAAATAGATATCTTGATTTAGATTAATTTAGAACATAGATAGAGTATAGTAGGATGGTTAAGACTACAGGCTCCAGGCAGTAAGATCTGGATTCAATTTCCAATTGTGCAGATACCTCCTAGCTACTTGACTTTAGATAACAGACTTAATACCTTCAGCCTCAGTTCCCTCACCTGTAAAATGAATAATATTAGTGCTTAACTTAGAATGTCTTGTGAAAATTAAGGAAGATAAAGTGCCTAGCACTGTTTCAAGCATATATTAAGCTCTCAAAAAATTTTACAATTATAATAATTCTCAATGCTGCCAAGAGTGATTGGAGACAGACATATTAGCACACGGTAGGGTGAATTGCTGCAATTTTTCAGGACAGCAATTTGGCTATATGTGTTTTTCATCTGTCCATACTCATAGAACCAGTAATCCAACTTTCAGAGTATTATTTAAAAAATAATCAGAGATGTGGTAAAGATAGAAATGCACACCTATTCATCACACACCTTTGTATTTTAATGACTAATGTTACAGCAGAAAACCATATTGGTCTTGTATAACAGAAGTTTTAAAATTTGAAGAAATAGGGATGCCAGTTTGTGAAAAGTAGATAATATACCCTAAATTGTAGAAAATACGCTTTGGGAAAAAGAAAATTCAGATTTTGTTTGGAGTTTTATTAGTCCTACTTCTCTTTCATATTATACCTGCTTTTTCTAAATATGCAGGTTGCAAAATTAAGCCTACTTCATTTGTAAGTGTATTTAAAATGAATGTGTGAGCTCACCTACTCTCTTCTCAAAGATAAGTTCTTTTTAAAAATCACTTTTTTCCTCCTATTTTCCACTTTACCTGAGAGGATATAAAAGAAAAAAATTAAACTATAAAGAGAACATTTCTCTACAGAACTTTTTTCTTTGTTTCTATGGGACAGCACTTTTAAAAATAAAAGGAAGTTTTTAAAATTTATTTTTTGTTTATCAGTTCAAAACATGAAAGCGAGTAAACATTTGGATGACATTTAGAGGCTATGATTAAGCTGATATGCATTTGTCGATATGCTGCAAGCCAGATACAAAATTCATTCGGTGAAGGTCAGAGGAGCTCAATGAGCTAAAGCAGTCATCTTCCTAGGTCGTGAAACTGAGATGCCAAGAGATACTGTGACTCTGACCCAAAACACACCTTATGGATAATGGGACATGCATTGACCCTCTGGAGAGAGGAGACAGCAGTGATTTCACACATGAACCCAAAGAGAAAGTCACAAAAACAAACATTTGAGTTAGAAGGAGTTGGTTCGTAGACCAGGGCCCACACACAAAAGGAACTCTACTGCCATCTTCCATGTTGAGAAGCAGCAAGAATTTACTTATATCACTCTCTGAGGCTTCTGACCCATTAGTCACAATTCTTTCTTGGAAAAAAAAAAGTATGATTTTGTTAACATTTAAAAAAAATAAGATAAACTTATTTCTACAATCACATAGAAATGGATAATTAGAAGTCCAATTGTAGCTTACATTTACCTCTTTGGAATCAAGAGTTTCATGCTCAGGAATAGCCACCATTGGATGACTCAGCTTCACAGAAAAGATGCCCAGGGTGTGATCAAGAGTAGAAGTGAGAAGAAATAAATGCTTAAATTTCATTTGCATAGATATTTAGACACTGACATAACTATATTATTGCAGATATTTTCTATCCAGTGCAAATATTTTGGTAGATGGTGAGTACTTTGAGCATAGGAACATATGTTACTTATTTTTGTGTCACACATAAACTCTAACAGATCTTAGCATATAGCATAGCCCATCATTAATTATTTATTGAATGAAATGAAGTGTCAAAATACACTGACAGATCTCACAGAGAGGAAACAAAGTTTAAATTTATGTTTCAACCTTCACACACAGGCCTCTAATAGAAAAGTTCCAAAGAATAAGCAACAAATCATGTTTAGCTCCACAGTAAATGTAGCTGCATCTATAAAGAGTAAATACTTACTGGAAATGCAAAATTTGGTCCAGATGCAGGGACTTCATAAACATTGCAATCATACCAGATGATGCTATTACACATTCAATGCAATTTAAAACATAGTGACACTTTAACAGAAAAGAGGTTCTTTGTCTTATGTGGGAATTTTTATTAATACATGAATCTTCTGAAGATTACACAGACACTGAAACTTATTAAGGTAGAAAACATTCATTGATACTCAAGAAAGAGAGACAGACAGACTAAGGCATACACAAACATCCTGGGAGAGAGATTGTATGGAATTCCTTTTTGGCATTCAATACCTGTTCTCGCTCCAACTTTAGGATAACCACAGAACAAGTCTTCCAGGAATATTTCTTATTTCTGCTATTGCCCTGGGAAATCAGGGCTACTGAAATGATTAGGCCCCTATCTGTCTCAACAGGGTCCTGCTTTGGGCAATAAATGAGTGGAGAGTGACTAGTTCCTAATCCCCCAGAGCAATTTGGAGGAGACCAGCCATTTAGCCTGACCCCAGGAAGGCTCGAACTCTAACTGCTGGAGAGGCCAAGGAGGGCTGTACCTGACATTTCCTCAGGCTTCCTTCCATTCCAGGAGATTTTCAAGAATAGAATTTGTTTTTATTGGAAGGTATACCTTCACTAAATCCCAGCCTTTACACACTGTTCCCAACCATGAAATCCTCTGAGTATCATAGCAACAGGATTCCTTCTAGCTGCCTAAGACCATTGCTTTAAATAGAAGCATGATCTGGTCCAAAGGCCAACTTGAGTCTAAATAGCATTCCGGAAAGCAGCTGGAAGCACCTACTTTTTCCTCTACATCAGAGTCTCCTGAGATCCCAAGCATGGCTTAGGGTCAGATACTATGTACTGCTTCAAACTTCAAACCCAAGTGATTGGTCCTGGAAACAGCCGAGTCTTTAGTATATTGAAGTTAAGTGGTATGATATTTGTATGAATAGTCAGAGTTTGTGCAATGTCAACTTTCCAATCTCCTAATCTCCTAAAACAGAAAAGAAGAATCATCCTGGAATTTTAAAATCGTGATAATACCCCAATAAAATATTCAACTGAAAAAGCAATTGAGTCATTATGTGATGTCTATATTGACATTCCATTCCTTCTTCCCAATAGAAGTATTCATTAATTCTAATTAATTTCACTTTGAATTTCAAAAACTATGTGTTGATTATCCTAACCAACAAAAGAGAACAGTAAATGACTGATCCTAATACATTGTTAATTCCCAAGTCATTTATATTTGGCTTTGGAGTGCTTTCTTCTGTTTACGATCTGTTATCACAGTAAGTTTGTGTTTTATTATCCTTAAGCTCACTGAAATTTAGATAATGTCTTATGAAAATGTGTAGATTTAGTTGTAATAATTCATTATGTACTCACATAATAAATTCTTTATATGTATTTGTTCATTTAGCTTTCACAACAACCTGCAGGTGAGCACTAATATTACTCTATTTCATGGATGAGGAAACAAAAACACCAAGAGATACAATAACTTGTTTGAGGTCCAACATGGAAGAGCTGTATTGGAATCTGACATGACTGTTACCAGAGACTGTGCTTTCAAAGCAAGTGTGATGTAATAATGTGTACCTGGGAAGATACACAGGAAAAGAGAGAGACAAAAGCAGGCAGAGAGATGGGGAAGGGAGTAGAGTAGCAATTTTAGCAAACAAAAAAGCCACATACTAAAGTCAAGAGTGTCCCATTCAGAGACCAGAAGCACTTCATTTGTGGCTGGTACAGCTACAAAAGGCTGTGAGGGAGCTTATGGGTCAGATGAGAAGGCCAAGCTTTATGCTCTTAGTCAGTGAGAAGTCATTAAAATCCTTTAAGCTAGAAGGGTACATGTGTGGTCAGATTTCATTTCACAAAATGTCACTGTGGCTAATGTGAAAAATATGGATGGTGGGGAAATTGGAAGATACATAAGTAATCGATGAGAGAGAGGCCAGGGAGTGAGAAGAAGGGAGGGAGGAAAGGTGGGAGGGAGAGAGGGAAGTATGGAGAGAGAGAGTGAAGAAAAGAAGAGGTTTAAATGAAAATATTGCCTCAGAGAATAGGATAGACCTAGTTTTTCTGGGTAACACTAGTCTTCCTACTCTCTAGAATAAGGGAAAAAGCAGCAGGTAGACATGTTGCTATTTTGATAATCAAGGAACACAAATTGAGAAGTGTTGGAGAGGAATAATGTTGAATACTAAAATCTCTCCTGAATACAGAGCTTTAGGAATGTGTGAAGACTAGAGATGTGAAGCAGAGAGGACAATAAAGCATGGTATGAAAATCCAGCCAGCCAGAACAGAAATAATGAAACTAAGACACTAAGTTCTACGCAGGTGAATGGCTTGCTATACAGAGAGTAGTAGATCCTGAAGAACAGAGTATCCGAGCCTGTTTGCTTAGTGGGAAGTATCTGGAAAATAAATTACCATTTTGCCTCAAAGAAAAAAATAACTGAAAAGTTACTAATTTATCATCAGAGCATTATTCATAGAAGAATGAATGAAACGGAAAGCTCAGGTGAAATAAGACACAACATACTTTTATCTTGGATGGAAGAGCCAGTCCTAGATATTGCATGACAGATTAATTAGACCTTGCTCACTCACTGCTGTTGGATAATCAATAAGTGGCATTTGAAAAAAATGTTCGGTTGATTTTTATTACACTGCTGATCACAGCTGCCACCAACCTGACATTAAAGCCTTGTGAAGTGTTTGTTACCAGTATGGGGCTTTCTCATAAATGTCACTGCTTCCCCCAAAGTAATATTAACCACTCCAACTAAGACAAAAAGATAAAACCCCCTCACACCAACTGAAGAAATGAGAATGTAACAACTGGAAAAAAAGAAAATATGCAAAATGTAGTTAAATCAGTTAATTAAGTCTCAAATGTACATGATAAATGGAATTCAGAACTCTAGCTTCTGTGAAACAATTCTCTCCTCTTGTGTAAAGATAAAGTCGTTTTTTTGTTGTTGTTGTTGTTTCCAGAAATTATGAAGCTGAGGTAGTGTTGCAGGAAGTTTTAACATTTTAAAATCACCAAGGGTGATACACATTCTGGCCAGAATCCACTTCTCTGGGATTGCTTTTTTGATCAACCACATGTTCTTATAAAACTTCCTCAGTAATCTGTACTTCCTGTCTCTGTCTTTCCACTTTGATTTGTGAAATACTCAAGTTAGAGTGTAACCTTAAGAATATCTCTCAAAAGTAGGCATGACATATTATTATAGCAATACATAAAATACTGTCTGTTTCATAAGTATAATGTTATCATTATGAGACTGGATGCCATTGGAAGTATGAGACTGGATGCTATTGGAAGTCAAAGATTAAGTGTTACCTAACGTTAGATTTTCTGACCCACTCAGCACAGAATAAATACTAAATGAGTACTGAATCAATAAATTAATGGGGAAAAAAGGATGAACAAGATGGTTAGAGAAAGCAAAGAGGGTTTTCTGCAAAATGAAATAATTCTGAATTTGTGAGAATTAGGAAGTATTTACTCCATTCTTAAAAGGTATCCTCATTTGTATGAAGTTTTACAAATTAGAGACTCTTCAAGCAGAGCTAGCATGCAAGAGAGTTGTGTTTGAGCTTCATAATTCTTTTACTCTAAAAAGAATTAAATTTCATTGTCAGTGTTTAAGTCCACAGATTCTACAAGTAGTTTTGTATTTGTGGCTTCTCTTGAGCTGTTCAAAGATTTTGCAACACTAACCTTGCAATCTGAATCTGGATAGCAGCTTGTCCCTTTTAGATGACAGTTGCCACCACTCCAACTTTAAGAGGACAAAGGTCAGAGATCACCTGTTATTATGATTATACATACATATCTGGCTTGCTTCATTCATTTGGGAGATCTGCCTGGCTAAATAAAGTGATTTCATTTTTAATCCCTGATATACAACATATCATAGTTCACCTGAAGGACCCAGGAAATCTTAGGAATTTCAGATTGTGACACGGTAGGTGTGGAGAGGGCCCTGAAAGTCTGCATTTCTAACAGGCTCTCCGCTGATGCTGATGCTACCACAGGTTGAGTAGTGAAGCCATAGCCAATATCTTTGTATGCATTAATGGAATGGATATGTTTCAAATATTTATATATTCATAACTGAAATTAGCTATACTCAAAATGTCCTAATCAATTAAGACGTACTGCAGTTGTGTAATAAGTTAATTTACCACAGATTTGTTTATTACGTACCTGCCAATATGCCAGGTCCCTTGCTAAATGTTAGGGATGTAACAGAGAACAAGTAGATATTGTCCCCGCCCTTGAAGACCACAGACTAGTGGGTGAGATAGATGTTAGTTATATAATCAGGAAAAAGATACAATCTTAAAGTAATGTATTAGGAAATAAAAGCAACGAGTGCTATGAGTATTCACAGCAGATAAATTTGACTTAGTCTATAAGAATGAAGGAATATTTTTTCAAAAGGCTGAAATCCCAACTGAAATCCATGATGGACAGGTCTATAAAAACCTACCCTCGAAGTCCAAGGAAGCTTAGAGTCCAAAGAAAGAGGCTGACAT